CATTCGCTTTATTATCGGATAAATTGGAACCATTGGTCGAAGGAGTTAGAAAGAATAAACAACAGTGGTTGAAGATTGCGGAGTCCAGATGTAAAACAGACAACTGCACGAATCATGATAGGACGGTGTCAATGCCGAATACCGAAGAAACCAGAGAACAAACGGACCAATAGTCAGTGTTTTGATGGACATGACATGAAATGGAGACAATTGTACATGGATTTCTACCTGTTTTTAGAATGAAGAATAAACAGAACACGATGTTAAAAATAGCAACAGATGATGATCACTCTTATAAATTTGAGGAGTTTTACACCTTCGTCTCGATGCTAGGTATTACAAAATTTAATTAAGTATTCATTCAATCATTTCAGAACATTCTTTGTATTGATGCTTCATAATGTCGCAGCTATAGAGGAAAAATCAGAATCATATGTAAAAACGATAAATATAGGGTTTAGAATAATCACTTACAATGATCTTGAGCATCACGATCAGATTATCTTATGTTGTCATAATCATATTTCTGAGTAACCTTTAAAATATTATACCAACTTCATATATATATACAATGAGCAAGAAAGTAATAAATCTTTTTTAAATAAAAAGATAAATTTCCTGTCGACAAAAGTCGAGATTATGCTCTCAACAACATATTTTACTGACTATTTTATTGAAATCGGAGAGGTTGATTTTATGAATAAAATTTAATCAAGTTTTTAACGAGCAACTCATAATTTTTTAACATCTTGAAAGTGGGACCTCTAAACCCCGTAAAAACTCTTCCATTTTGAGAGATCATTAATTGTATGTCTCGAGTGTTCGCCAGTTTTATTTGCATGTAATCCCAAATTCAAATTTAATTTTATTCAGAAGAATAAAAATTATTTTTAGCGAGATTATCGTATACATTTTATACGTTCATCAATGAAATAAAAAAGAAAATCAAGGAAGCTGAAGGTGATTAGTTTAAGACGATTGAGATGCTTCGTCCTCTCTAAAACAGATCAATCCCGAGATGCTACTCTTGTACCTGATCGTATTGTACGTATACTTACTATGGCAGATCTTTGATATCCAGAGAGGACGAAGTAGAAAGATGATAATGTATAAAAAATCCAATGGAATCGCAGGAAGTTGACTTTCTTTCAATATGCGATTTCTGTTGCAAATTGAAGACCTGTGGCTTGTAACATTTTTACACATAAATATAATATCGATAAATTATGACAAAATTATTATTTTATACAAATATTTAACACAAAATAAATTACTTTTATGTATTTTCTTGCAAAAAGTAAACAAAATTATGCAATTCATTAAATTTTCATGCGAAGGATAAAATAGCGGTGCTATTATAAAATAATACTGTTAATACTTCTCATTAAAGCTTTTTTTTCATTAATAGAACGTATATAATAATCAAACAAAAGCTTGGAAAATGGAATAAGAAGATAAAATGGAATACACATATGTGATGTATCGCTTGATTCAAAAATTTTCATTTTACAATTTGTATTTGCATACAGTATATTATAAATTTGTTTGCTTTTTTGCTATCAAAAAACATTAACATTTATACAAATTTTATATAAATATAGTTTATTAAATTTACAGTAAGTAAGAAACTGTAAATACGAACATAATAGAATGAATAATGAAAAAATAAAATGAATGAAAAAGGAAAGAAAATGTGTATGAATCTCGTTCATTGAAAAACTTACCCAGGTCTTCAATTAACGAGAGACAAATGATTCTTCAATAATTATGTAGATGTGGATAAAGAACTCCTAGTTTTGTCTTGGAATCGTTCCAGTTCTGCGTTTACACAGGAACCTTGTTTGCGATTTATGGACTTGTCTGACCAAGACTCGAGTTTTGCGTGTAATTATATAATGTATTCATAAACCAAAGTGTACGTTTATACATCAAGGTCAATCGTGATCTTTATTACTCGATATAGCAATGATTTTAAATGCTGTTCTACGTGCTAATTATTATAATTAGTGTTTTAGACGTGGCGGGAATAAATTTTCTCGTCATTTATCTTGCTTATCTTGAATGTTTTGTAACATCATTTAGGTTCGAGTAATCGTTTTCCTCTTCGCATGAAGCTATCGTTTTAAAATAGAGCAACTAAGATTTAGGAAATATTTACAAGAAATGGCGTGTGTATGTAATATGTATTTGTTTCTATGATTTCGGATATCTGTTATTTCGTAAATACATGTTAACGATTATTTTAAATTATAGGACGAACATATCATTATAATTGTCATATCATTATGATTTTATTAATGTTACCAAATAAATTGTGACTTAGGTGTATATCGATGATATATATCAGTATATTAATGACTTGCGTGAGTGAATTATAAGTAATAATATTTAGTAAATTTTTCGTTTACGAATGTTGACTCGTACCATTGAAGGTGACTCTTTTTTTGACAAATTTGTCTTTACAATTATTATATAACGTTACATATCTGCTCTAAATGAAGAAACATAGCTTTGCGAAGATGAAAATAATTTTGGATAATGAAAATAATTTAGGATTCATTCGCGTGTGATCGTTACTTATAATAATAGTCCGTATTTTATATATGTTCCTTTCATTATTCGAATGTCCTTAAAAAAAAAAAAAAAAGAATCGTTAATGAATTATCAATTTCAAATGACTCCATAACAGGAGCAGAGAGGTGTAAGAAGTGTGATAAAAATTGTTTATTGCGTATATATGTCTGTCGTAACGTGAGTGAATGTTTTGCCGATAAAAGCGATATACTGTACAGTTTTCGTGTAAATTATTGATACGATAAATGGATAAATTGTTTAGCGTGTATGTTGTTTACGTTATGATTTAACATATAGTATGAGAGTCATATATTATACTGAACAACATCTAATATATTAAAACAAGACTAAATTATGTGATATATCTATAATTTATCTTTAGTCATTTCATTTTCCCGCTTTTTTTCAAATGATATCCTACAAGTTGAATGCATCATATCAGCAATTATATTGTTATATCATAAATTGTTTGTCTAAACCTAGTCTATGGAAGGCTATTTTTGAAAATTTCTGTAATATCGATGTAACTCATTTACATTGAAAATTTATGTCGATTTTTCAATTAATATTTACCTATTTCTATGTATTTATCTATTAAAAAAAAAAAAAGATTTACTCCTGAATTCGTTCATTAATAAATAAATTTGAACATAATCAATAATTTACACGTTTGCGATTTGTTTTCACTGTTCCGAATTTGAATTTGAGAATGTTCTTTCATTTCTTTTAAACTTTCGAAGTAAATATTCGTATTGCATAAACTTACAGGAACTACAGTATTTTTAATATATTAACGTATTTTCCGTGGGTGCATATGTTGAGTAAAGAAATTTTATTAATTCAAATTACATACGAATTAGTTCGATTCATTCGAATTACTATCTAATAATGTTTGTTACCGTTGCAATATAATTTATTTCATTCGAATTGTCTAAATGGTACGAATTATCATTAATATGAATTGAAAATTATAATATTTGTAATATAAAAATATTTCTAAATATAAGTATCATTGCAACGTTTATTTTCCTAGTTTGTATATCCCATCCTACAAAGTCTATCACCTGTTGCCTTTCTCTTCATACAAGATAGATTATATCTATAGTATACAACTCTATTAAATTATTCGATTATGATAATCTAAACTAACAGTGTTGAAGATGTTAAAATAAAACAAAAAAATAGAATAAAATTATTATTGTTATATTATTAAATATTCTATAACAATAATTTTAGAATATGTACGTGTATTTATTATTGTTTAGTCTTTATATTTCAATCTTCTCTATTTTGCAATATTTCATTTCATACATATTAATTATCGAAGACAATTAAACATTGTAGTATATAGTCTATTTTATTATTGACGTTACGTAATTAGATACCGTATACAGATTATTAATTATAAGTTTGAAAAATAAAAATATTAAAATTAATATTCAATTAATCATTTTTTCTTGTTATAAGTGCGATACAATGGAAGATCTTGATCTACCTGTAGAACGATTAATTGTGCTTTAAAACGTCACCTTAACAGACTGATGACTCATTGCCAGAGAAGGTACGATCATAGAGGCCGGATCAATAGTTGACAAATTGTATTTTGCAATGTGGGTCAATCGGTGACACGTAACGACAACATGATGTTGCAAGCTTGTTTCGATGGACCTTGATTACCGATGCCAGAACTATCATGAAAAACAGCCAACGAATAATAATATTTTTATTGCACTTTCAGATTCAAGGTATTATCAATTAATACAATTTAAATTCAAACATTCAATTATTCATAAATGGATTCCAAATTTAATTTCTCGTTCGAAATTCCTTTGCGATTACAAATTAATCATTATTGAATATACACGACAATATGAATACATTAAATGAGCATGTTATCACACTATAAATAACATTACAAATTGGATTGCATGTCTAGAAGAGTGGATTTTATATTATAAGATTGAAGCATGTTACAAGCATGAAAGTGATCGTTGATTAAAGATATACATCGTGTTGCTTATCAATACTTGTACAATTGACTTAATTATCAAAATTAACGCGTTTCGCCTGAAAAGTCAATATTTTTGATGTACGATATGTTATTTTAATTATGATTCAATATAATCGTATCGTTCACAAAAAAGAATGATTGCTCGATATTTCGTAGTGAGATACGTAATCGGTGAACATTTTCGTTAAACGGCTCGTTCGAGTTTCAGATTTCGTACGACTGTCAATATGACTTGCTTCTGGGCATTGACGAGACGGTCGTGAACTTCGCAGTGCCTCAAATGGTGTATAGTCTCCCCATTTATTTTGGTAACTATATCGCCAGCCTGTATGCCAGCTTGATCGGCCAATCCTCCAAGAAGTACCTTTTAATTAAAAGAATGTTTCATTCGATTAAGTTATAATTATCTGGATATTATATATTTGTAATTGCATTACGTATTGTTACGTGTTTATATAATTTATACTCCGGCAGTTATTATGAATTTTGAGATTACAATTAAATAAAAACGTTTAACATTGAAACTTTCAAGATAACTAATTCATAATTTATGGACATTTGGAACAATGCATTTTTAAAGAGTCAAGTGATTTTTTTGTGAAATATATAAATAAAAACTCTTTACTATAAATTTATAAACCTTTTCCTGTCTCTTGCACTCTAGTCTTTCTAATATAGTTCGATAGTGTTGAAAGAAGATTCATATTCGAAATAATTGAATATCGAAGCTGAATTCTGCTATTTGAAATCTGTCCACGAAAGCTCGACGAGAAAGAGAAATAGAAGGCGGCGGACGATACGATTACCGATAAAAATTTGTAAGATTTACAAATGTGTAGTAGTTTTTCATTTACGATTCGATTAATGATTTCCTCTTTTCTGAGAACGATGTTCCATTGGACCGACCGTGGGATTTAGGCCGAAGGGAAACGAGGTCACGCGATCCGATACGAATGCAATGTCGATAAAAATCTCTAAAGCAGAAAACGCGAATATTTGCCTTTGCCGCGACAATTTCTCGAAATATATACGAAATCACCAGAACGTGACGCGATCCACGCTTCCAGCCCTGAAAAGCGATGCATTTAATATTTATGAGAATTTATTGATCGATTTGTTATGATTCTTGCACGATTTCAATAAGTAGTATGTATATGATGCACGTTACCCTGACGACAGTTAATGGAAAACTAAAGTCAGCTCCTCCGGATAATCGAATGCCCCAAGTTTGATTGCCACTTTTACAGAGTTTTATATCAACATCCATAGTAGCAATCAACGTAATTAGAAGATAAATGTCTATAACAAAGATATACACAGTTTAATACAAATATGCAGTATAATAATATAATATAATATACAGCGAGTGTCACTTAAAATCGTGAAATCAAAGAATTGTCGGTGTTCGTGAAAAAAAAATCCTATAGTAATCAATTAGGAAATAATTCATTTTATAGCGCGAAATTTTTATTTTCTCAATGCAACATTAATTTTCTCCTAATCAATCTTTTTTTTTTTACATTATGTAGCGAATGGAAATATTAAGATACTTCTTTTCCTTCGAGAATGCTACAAATATCACAGTATGTAAGAAAAAATTTCTTCGTGACCGAATCTACTATGAATTTAAAGATTGAAGCTTCCACTCACAACGGATTTTTAAAATTTGATGTACGATCTTTTTTTTTTGCTGTTTTATTAAACACAAATTGCACGACTTCATTTAGGATTTGTACCTCATTTGCGTTTAACAATAACAAATTATCTCTGAATTATACCTTATCGTATCAACATTGATTGTTGTATAATCTTTTTTACATTGAGAATTTTTGAATGTACGATTTCAAGTGATATTCATATATAATTATTTATAAATTGATATAATTGTTGAAATTTAGTAACTTTTTTCGAAGATATTATTAAGTAAAGTACTTACAACAAGAAAATTACTACAAAATTAAATTATGATGGTTTATAGTTTATAACTGAAATATTTTCTTTATTGCTAAAAAATTGTGCTCAAATGTTTTACTGAATTGTCTAAAAAATGTTAGTACACATGTTATTGGAAAGTTCTTAAGGAACGAGAATAAAAGAACTAACACGAATTTTCCAATTAATTAGAAGTTATCTATCGATCGTTTAATGATTTATCGAAAGTGGAGTTTGTAGGAAAGTTTCTTAGTCGACTTACGAGATGCGATGAAGGAAGAAAGTTGCTCAAGCATTTCCGTAAATTGAACGAACAGTAATTCTTAATATTTTACAGGCAGTTTATGAAATTTAAAAAAAGATGTATGTACCGGTGATTTTAATTTATCAGAAACAAATATAAAATTGGTACAGAAGTTTAACCTGCTAGTCAGAAATTTCTCCAATGATAAAATAAATTTGAAAATTGAAAATATTCTAAAAAAAATAAGAAATTATATTTAAAACACATATTTAAACGTTAAATAAAATTAATTAAAAAGATAAAAAAATTAATATCTATATATGGTATAGTGAAATATGTGTATTTAACTTCTTCAAATGTATAGTGACTTTGTCAAGTTAAAACGAATTATATTCTTAATGACAGCAGTACGAAATATTTAGTAATCATTACAATAATATAAATCATTAATAAAAATATAAACAATTATATGACAAGAAAAATATTTAGGCGTTTAAAATATTGTTTGCGTAACAAGTCTTGAATTAGTGAGTATTAAAGTATAAAACCACATCGTATAGAAACCAGGATGAAATTACAAAATTATTTTATGGTTAAATATTGCGAAAGCTGATTACTAATATATAATTTATTATTTATTATTATTTTGTAAAGCTCGACTTATTTCTACGCAAAACGCTGTACAAAGAGAAAAAGGGAACAATTTCATTGACTCACCTTAAGTAACACGACAATTCGTAGAATTCCTTAAATTTTAATAAGAAAACACGAACTTTCAAGAAGCTCGGTCAAGCAGCAAAGGTCGCGGGAACAAATATCCGTCGATCGCGTGTACGATGTATCACGACTATGCGCACATAAATAAACGATGGCCAATGTCCGAAAGCTGATCATGACTTAATACGATATATTACCGTTTGCACTATTCTAGAGCAAGTGCCGTGGGGACAATGCCGTAGCTAGTTTCGAATTTCAAACTATAGACACATTATACCCTACATACTATTTCAGATGCAACAAGCATTGCAAGGCTGTGTACTATGGCGTCGGAACACACTTCATCCCTTTATCAGTACATTTTATTGTATAGTTATTGTATAAGATAATCGTTTATTATCTAATATGTGGGCTATAATTCATTAGCCAATGAGTTAAATTTTTAGTTTAATTTGTAAATGTAATGCGAATATCGTTTGCAATGTAAAACATTTTCTCCTATCAGTACATTTATTGCTTTCACATTTACTGAAAATTTAACTCTAACAAGACTAAGTTTTAAGTCATTATAAGAGTGGTCCAGTAAGAATTAACACTTGAATATCTCCGTTGTTCTTTGAAATATAAAAAGATTTTAGTGAAAGTTGTTTATAGAAAGCTTTAACACGATAGTACTAATTCTTTTCATAGAGGATTTCGGAGATTTTAAGGACACTATCACTTTTTTAAATACAATCATATATTTTTTTACTCATTAATCGATACAAATTAACATTCTCTAGAAAAAAATATTCTTTACACAAAATATGTATAGAGAGTGTTCAATAGCAGATGGTAGAAAATTTAGAATGTATAAATTAGGATAATGTACTAATATCATTATAGAATCTCAGACTTTTGTCTTCCTAGCAATCATTATGCACGTATGCAATTTTTTAAAAATATTTGTAATACGTGCTGACTTTCTCATATTGCCTGAACATTCAATTATTCAAAGATAAAAATTCAGCGAAACGTATTTATTTTTCCTAAATAAAAATCCTATGCAATTGATTTTGATTACGATTTTCAGTGAAGTGACCGTAATTATCGTTAAACAATATGAATGAAGTACATATTACAATATATATTTTATTTTTATATACAATATTCAAGATTTTCTTAAAAGTGAAAAAAACTTTTCATTGAGATGAATTTCTACCTGACCGGTAATATCATGATAATATCGATCATTGAATTTTGCTACTCAACCAAGTGCAAGATTTTTTAATTAAAAAATAAATCTCTTCAATTCGTAATATGATAATTCGAAAAATAGATTTCTTCTAGACTGCATGAAAATTTTCCATTTCCACTTTGAACATTTTATTTTTCAATAATTTCCTGTTGTAATTACATTTATTTTAGTAGAATATATAATAGTATAATGTAGTGTAATTTATGAGTACATAGTATTTTTGATGTAATTATTAAATAAATCGCTTATCTTTCAATTTAATTATAATGAAAGTTACATATTTTTCGTCATCAAAATCAATTACATAATATTAAAATCGTACTTTTTATGATGTTCCGACATTAATCGAATAATTATTTCAGAATAAACATATTTCAAACAAGAATCAATTGTATTTCATTAATTTATTATTAAACTGTGGGAATTATATTGAAAAAGCAGCGTAATGTAAAATATTGTTTTTATAAGTAATATATATTGTATTTCTCACATGTAAAATGCATAAAAATGTGCTGCATTGCGCTCTTATATTTCTCGCCATTATGCTCTTACATTTCTCCGAAACAACCGAAAGCATCATTAAGTATTTTCTTCGCTTCTTAAGAACAGCTTCTCATTGAAATGCTGAAGTACTGCTACGAGTACTCGGTACTTGTTTCTAAGAACAAGTCACACAGTGAAATATTGCCCGTTTCAGCAGTTGATTCAAAGGCGGCCCTACTTCAACGTTTAATTGAAATAAAATTGTTTAGTACAATGAATTTATTGCCAATTCATGTTTAATTTTATTTCTTACTTTTATTATCAAACAAAATTATTAAACATGCCGTGGTTGATATTAGAATTATATTTCAAGGGAAGATACTCATTTTAGAATGTTATGTAATTTTGTGTTATTACATCAATAAAAAAGTAAATTTTTAGAAAAATGAAACAATCGTGTAAATTTTTAATTTATTTTAATTTATTTTTATTTACTATTCTCCAAATTTATTACTTATATTTATTTATTATTTAAGGTTAATTTTTAATAATTAATAATGCTTGAAAAAATAATAACATATGATATACATGTATAAATTATTTTGTTCACTCATGTCATACTGATACGATATCGTTCTTTTTCAGAAAATTTAAAAATACAAAAAAAGCATGTATTACATAATACTGTATTGAAATTGAAGGAGACAAAAGGGAAAAATGAGTAAATTTCACACGTATAGTCGACCGCTAATAAATAAAAAATGCAAATAAAAATAAAAATGTTTAAGTAAAAAATTATGGTCAGTTATAATATATACATGTATTGTTAATGTAATTTGCGTATTATTTTAAAATAATTAAAAGCCCTTTAAGCACTTTTTCATAATATAATAAATAGATTGAAAATGTTCATGTTAATAATAAAAGTTTGAGAAATTTAAAATTTCAAAAGTTTGCAAAATGTATATAATAAGCAAAAGTATATGAAATATTTAAAGTAGAGTATATCTTGTTATGTTATTCAATGGATGAAACAAATTTTTATTCAGATTCCGTTTCTTTAATTATACTGAAAAATATAATATTGTAGAAATATCTGTAATCTGTTTATTATATCATAAATATATTATATCTTTATATATTATCTTTTTTTTGTATAATCATACCAATTATTCAAAACTAGAGTTTCTTAATTTTATTTTTACTTTAGATAAAGTATGTTTATTATAAATAATATTATAAGAATAATAATAACATAATAAATAATATCAGAATAACAAAAAATTAGAGTCGTAAAAGTTGTAAAATATCAACGATGGAAAAACAGGCAATATTGCAATATTAATATTGTAATTAAGCTATAAATATTACGAGGATTTCAATTCAGAGTATCAAGGACTAAGATAGAGAGTTATTTTCGTAAATTAGAGTTTAGTCTACGAGAATATCATGAGTTCAGGAAATTAGAAACAGAGATAGCGAAACTAGTAGCAAAGATAGAATTAGTAACAACATAATTCTATAATTATTAAATATTAAATGTTAAATCTCTGTCTTATAACGTTCTTGTAATACTTACTTTTTCCGCTCGTAATGTGAATTATGATTCTGATTTGAAAAAAGTAGTCAAATCGTAGTGCTGTGGAATTTAAATTCGAATTGTGAATTTTAATTGAATCGAAGATT